GTGAGACTTAAGGCAGCTTACACTGTTTCTTAGAAATTGTGTAAAGCTATAATTTGGGTAGTTTTTAAATGAGAGCTGTGTTGTTATACATCCTTGTGTGTTATGTGCAAAGTATTTGAGGTCGTACAAACCCCAAAGCCTTCGATAGGAATAATACATCTGATTGTAAAAAAAATGGTTGGAAAAAGAATACTTGACTACAGTCACTTCATAAATTGATGCATTGCATCAGATTTGATCTATGAATTTCAGCTTGCATCTGTGCTTTCTTTTTGACTCCATTTTGTGGAAAAAGTCAAAGTCAGTTGGTACAACTGCTACAATCACCAGCTCTTCACTTTTAATCCAGTGATTTGCTATTCTTATGGCATTTGAGTTCATTTTCATTTACTTTTTGGTAGCCAATTGTGGGTTTAGGCATCTGCGTTTGATGAGGCAGTGATGCAAAGGAAATTAGTTTTTTTATGTACTTTGGGATTGCCGGGAATTTTCTTTTTGTTTCTTTATGCTAACCCATTTAGGGCCTATGTTAAAATATATCATTTATTTTCTCTGTGAATGATTGAAACTACTGGAAAATATGTTGTCCAATGTGCTCTGCAAAAGGACCCAATGTTGATAATGAGGATTTTCACTCTCAAAATGGAAGGAAACCAGTTTTCAGCATTTGTTCCATAAGAAATATGGCTAAAGGACTTTTGTAAACTATAGGTTATATTTATTCTTGATTTGCTATTTTAGCCCTTTTGAGAACAAAACCCAAATACTTTTTTCCTCTATGTTTTGATGTAATATGTGTTATTAAAAAACCTAACTTGCTGGTTTGTAATGAAGGGAATTTCAATGTGAAAATAAAATCTTTACTATAAGTTTTCTATTAAGTCTATTTTTTCCCCAAAATCTAGAGCACAAAATATTTTTCATACAAGTGCTTTAGAGAAAAAACAGTGATGAAATTCCATGGAGAGAGACTTGAACCCTGAAAACAACATTGAGTTATCAAAGGAAGAGAAACGGATGGTTTGTGTCAAACACCACTATTTTGCTCTTCATTTTGTGATGCCATGGTTTTATTTTAACAGAAGATTAATTTGTCTGATTAATCAACTTCACAAAAAAGATGTAGGACTGTTTACACTATTGGGCCACACATGAATCTAAAGCTGTGCCTAGAACACAATAGTCATGATTTGGTGATACCAAATTACACAAAAGCGTTCATAGAGTAGCTGTTGGATAGTAATGGATATTAGTAAACAACTACTGCTGTTTTCATTGGGGAATCTTGGGTAATTTCAAGGAATCCCATATTTTCTGGAAATATTGTTTGAAAAGCATAGGTGAATAGCAAGAAAATTCAGGATTAAAATTTCATTATAATTTTTAAGATTGTGTCTTTACTATTGTATTTAGTATCTGAATTTCCTTTATATATTTCCATATAGTATGTCTATCATCATTATATAAACTGTTGCACTCGAACAAAATTGTTGGCAGTTTGATTTATTTCCATAAAAGTTATGAAACCAAATAATTAAATCAAGAACAAATAAAATCCAAATTCTCTCTGTTTCTCATTTAACATTCTTATTTAACATTGTATTAAACTTTTCTTATTTAATCTGTATCATGCAATGGTTCAGAATTTACAATATTTCTTCATTTTCTTTGTTTATAAAAAAATTCTCAGAATTTAAATTTTTCTCTCTCTGCTGAAATATAAGATTCTTTCCTGTACTTTATAGCCTTCTTTCCTCTTTTTAGAGTGAACTTGTACAAGAGTTCTTCGAGGCAATTCTAATTCCTGGTGACTTCATGGATAAATTCATGTAGTTTTCTTGGCAACAGTACAAAGATTGTTGACTAATGCCCTTTTCTGGGATATTTTCTCATTTTCCTAGTTAATCCCAGTTAGGTTTTGCAAAAACAAGCAAGGTTGACTAGTTGTTGCCTTCTGTTGCAAACTGCAACTCCTCATCACTAATATTATATCTGACTAGTTGTAGATATCATGAATCTTTCAGAAAAAAATAGCTCTGGTTACACATGTTCAATCTGTGAAACAGTTCACTGCTTAGGCAACATGGCATATCATGTCCTATAAATATCAAAGAGCACTTTTGATTGTTTTGGGGCACCTTCTAAAAAAATTAGCTGGATAGTTTCCAAGGGTTTCCCAATGTTTCCAAGATTCCATATAATAAATGCAATGTTAGGGATCAATTGGCTTTCCATTATGGAATTGAGAAGACTGTGATTGTGACCCTTAACAGAGCATCTCTAGTCTATTGCTTTTAAGTTTTTCCCCTTTATGGTTTTATGGAGATTGGGTGAGTATTGCTGAGCATTTGCAGTACTCAATAAGGGCTACAGATGTGCTATGAGCTTCTTGCATATTATCATTTATTTATTCTGTTTTATTGAATGATTTTCCATAGCCAGTTGATCTCTTTCCTCCAAAAACATCTAGATTCAGTTACATTTTTATACAGCTTGGTTATACATGCATACTCTGGTCAAGTTTATAATATGTTTGATGGAATATATACCATAATACATGTATTTATCAGCTGAAGTTATTTTGGAATGGTAGAAAGAACTGTTTTTTTCTTAAAATTGACAATTTGAGTATACACGTACTTGCTGTCTACATATTTCTGCAGTAAGAATTGCTGTTACCAAAATCTTTGGATAATGTGTGCTCTTCTATACATCAAATGAAAAGGCCACTTGGCATAATAAAATGTATTGAATCTTAAATAATTTACAATCAGCTATGTACTATTACTACTACTACTACTACTACTACTACTAGTAGTAGTAGTAGTACTACTACTACTACTACTACTACTACTACTAGAAATAAGCATAGTATAGAAAAAGAAGAAACTAAAGGGCTCCGTAACTTTCAAATTCAAATAGAAGAATACCCCAGATTTAACAATTGTCAATAAGAAAGTTAAAAAACGTCTGGATGTGGCAATACCTAGAGACAGCAAAATAGAAGAGACATAACTGGAGAAAATCACTAATTACAACCACTTGCAAATAGAAAACAAATGACTATGGAAAAGGAAGCAAAGATAGTATCAGTAGTAATAGTGCTTTGAGCACAATGCCAAAACACCTGGAGCACCATTAAACACCATTGCAATTGACAAAAATCACCATCAGTCAATTGCAAAAGGCAGTTTTACTTATAGCCACTTCTATCCTGTGACTGTTAGGTTCTCTATTCTGTTGGAAGGAGGGCAGGTGGGGGGAGGAAGACTTGCTGGCATTTTCCACATGCTTTTGCTTTTGCATATCTACTGCAGAGAGATGCTTGAGAATTAGGGAGAGGGATTGTCTTTGGAGACAGAGCACACTCCCTTCCAGTTGGTTCCAGCTTGTTTCCAAGGCCATCGGGTTTTGAGAATGAACTGTTATCTGTCTAGCACCTCCTCATTCTCAAAACAACTTTACAGCATCACATTGGCTGCTGGTCAGGGGGTTGGGGGTTGGGGAAACAGAAGAATTGCTTTGTGCTCTGTGTGGGACTATCAGATTCCGCCTGACTTTACTGCAACCACTTTCTCTCAGTAAAAGTTCTTTTGACTTAACTTAATGGAGTTTTGTTTTCCTTTAATACCAACAAAAAAACAACATCTATCTATCTTAGGAAGGATTTGGAAGGTGGGTAAAATGCCAATTCCAAACTAAACATATGTCTGACTGTGCAACCAATCATAAATAATATGAAGAATAGAATGACACACAGCAAAGCAAAGTAATACATGGCCAGTACATTAAAAAAATAGGCAAACCATATATTAACAAGACCCTGGCAATATCTAAGAGCAGGAAAATTGAAGAAAGATAAACCTGGAAGCCTTAAAAGCAAATTGATACAGAAATATAATTGAGAAGGCAGCAACAAACAGAAAATGCCGCCTCTGCAAAGAAACATTGGGACACCTAGTTAGTTGCTGCAAGAAGATCTCACACATTGACTACAAACAATGGCACAACAAAGTAGCGGTGATGGTGTATTGAAGATCTATGAGAAATATCTTTTACCTGCTTACTGGTGGGACCATAAAATTGAGATAGTCATAGAAAAGGAAGAAACTGCAACGTAACACCTCAGATTTAACAAAAGTAAAAAAAAAAAGTCTGGATAGTGGTCATGGCAATTCCTCGAGACAGCTGAATAGAAGACAAAGAACTGGAGAAGTTAACAAAGACCTACAAATAGAAATAGAATTACCATGGAAAAGAAAGCAAATACCAATGGTATTAGGCGCCTTGGCTGCAATCCCAAAACAACTTGAGCACCATCAACATTGACAAATTCACCATCGCTCAATTTCAAAAGGCAACTTTATTCAGAACAACTTGCATTCTGCAATGATACCTCACCATCAGACATCAACATCTGGCTATTCTAGGCCCTTGGGAAGGACTCAGTGGGTGAATAAAAATGCCAAATTCAGTCTAAACATCTGGATGATTGTGCAACCAACCATAATAGATTATTAAACTTGTGATCCACTCAACTCAACAATTCTGGGTGGCTTATAACAAACATATTACAATAAAATCACTAAAGGTAAAATATGGGAAGGAGAACAGTCCAGATGAAATAAACAAAAGATCTCACTCTTCCTTGCCAAATACCTGGGTCTTCACATGTCTTCTGAACAACAGCGAAGAGGGGACCATCTGGATATCAGGGGGAACCTCATTCCAGAAGGCAGGCAATGCTACAGAGAAAGCTTGTTTCCGATGTTCTGATAGATGTCAAGAGCTACAGATTATGCACCAATCTTGAAGGGCAAACAGATACTTTACAATCAATAAAGTTACGGAAGTACAATACCTCAGTCATTGCTTTATGTCTGCTGAACTGTCTGTAAAGACTGGTAAAATTAATGAAAATGTTCTGATTTGCTTAGATGTGACAACTCTCTTGCTTTCTCTTTTGTATTTTCTAATTGAATCTTCTCATCTTATCACAGTGTATAAATCTCCAGAATATGAATCCCTTGGATTTGACTTAACAGTCGAACGGTTAGTTTCAATTGGATATCCTCAAGAGCTGCTTAGTTTTGTCTATGACCCTACATTCCCTACCAGGTAAATAATTGTAATTTAAAGTTGTATTTGTTCTGTACAGTTTAAGTGATACTTTTAAGCTTAAGGTGCTATAGTTCATATATGGTAAACTGCATATGTATCTTGAAAATTTAAGTTTGTATGTTATCAGATAGTGTTTTAAAATACAAATAAATAGAAGAGAACTGCAGAGCAGATAAGCATAAATATTCCTGTAGACTAATGTTTTGCCATTTTATAAATGCCAAGTTTAATTTATGAAAACTAAATGACTACTATTCAGAAAATCATTTGGGGATACTATTCATGGGTATTCCAGAATTGTTAATGCTTTGTGTATTTCCTAAGGCATTTTCTTGAGTGTATCGGGACTGCCACATTTTGCACATTTCACTCAGACAATTCTTTGTGCTATGTTGGAGATTTTTGAAGTTGCTTGGGGCTTTGGTAGGACTTAGTAGGACTGAAAGCATCATGATTGACCATCTGACAAGGATACTATAGTTCAGTAGTAGTTTCTGGCAATGGTCAGGAGTAGAGAATCTTCAAAGACCCTTCCAATCCTTTATATTATGTAATTCTGTGAGACTTTCCCTGAATCTTTCTGGCAACGTTGTTAGAAAGTATAGTGCATTTACTAAAAGTTGGTAGTGAGGGAGAATTATAATCATTTTTATAAAATGTATATTTTAAAAAGCTTCACATTTTGATACTTTTTATTAGGCTCACTTTAATTTTTAATGATTTATGTAAAACTTTTGAGATGCTGGTTAATGGGGAAATATTCTCTGGTAGAAAAATTCTTATAGCACATAGTATACAAGAATAAATATAGGAATAAAGTTACATCAGCAGCCCCAACCTTTTGCACTCCAGGGGCTAGTTCCAGGAAGGGCGTTTCTTCCACGGAATGGGTGTGTGTGGTTTCGTGCACTGTCTGGATCCCACACATGCGTGGGTGGGTTTTCATTTGCTTGCTCAGCCCCAATTCCTGGCAAGGGCAGACCGGGGCTGGTCTATGGCCCAAGGGTGGGAATCCCTGAATTACACCATTCCTACACTATCTCTATGTGAAGTCCACATGCATTTGGTCAAGCCATGTACTTCTGCTTTTGGCTTTAGACTAAACAGTCATGGTTCAAATCAGCAGTATGCATTTAGTTTTTAAGCTTATTTCCAAATGTATTTGGATTTCTCCTTACTGATTACAGAATGAAAATTTTAGCTGTTGCATTTTATTATAATTTCTTAGTTTGATTGTTGTGAGCTGCTCAGAGGTGTTGAAAGGAAGTATACAATTTTAATAAATTATTATTATTATTAGGTCTGGTTATTAACTTTTTTGTTCTCTCAGACCTGGTGACAAACTACACATTGCAGAAAATATGCTCCACTCTACTTTCTTGAATCACAGTCTCACCTTTCTCTCAGTATTGTTGACTTAACATAAAAATTAAACTCTTTATACCTTGAACATTCTATGCCTATCTTTCTACAGCAACTATTGATGTAGAGCGGGGTCTGAGAAATGCACTATAGGATAATGTCACATCATGGGTAAGGAAAAACCATGACACATTAATGGGAAGGAAAGAGACCCACAGAACACATTAAATGAATTGGCAATGAAGCCAGAGAAAATAGAATAGACAATCTGAAGTCTTAATTTATAGCCACACCCAATATAGTTTACTTTTTTTTTAGTTATCCAGACGCTTTTTCAAGGATTGTTCAGCCAAGTGAGGCTACTTTGATAGCAGAATTTTCTAGAGGGATAAATGGGGGAGGCGATAGATAATTATCAAGCAGAGGAAGCATTATACATCCCTCAACTGTGTACCTCATTGATTGTCTAAATTCAATATATTGTCTTTCCATGTAATTAGGACAGTGTTGTACTGAAACATAAAAAGTTCATAGTTATGGGCACTTTGACTTTGTAACTTGTTTTAATGAAAGCCCTCTGCTAGCATCTAATATTTCATTGAGATATTTTAGTGTTTATATAACACTTAAATGTGTACTACATCCATATGATTGTATGTGCACATCATAGTCAAGCTTGCTTTAGGAAGTTGTAGAAAAACTTCAGTGAACATTGGCTCACATGGTCCCTCTTATTCTTTTAGATGACCAGACATTAGCATAGGGTGTGGCAACTTTTGTTTAATAGTACATATGGTCAGCTTCAAATAAATCAAACTTCAAAGAACTATTTCTCAAGCTGGCTTGTTAGAACTAATAAAAATGTTAACCACAATTTTGGGTTAAGTCTAGCAAAGTCTAGCAAACTGTAGTGAAATTCTGAGAAGTAAATGCTGCCAAATGCTATTCTGGCAAAATACCTTGGTGTTAAGATAAATGAACTAATTTTAAGCAAATAGATTAATTGTACATTTAAACCAGGCAATGCAGACTATTTTTTCCTCTGCAGCTAAACAAAAGTTCAATGGGACTCTATCATCAGTGTCCTCCTTAGGGTCAGATTCTAATTTGGACAGAACGTGATAGAACTGGCTCAGGTATGCCATTCCAACAGACTATCTTTCAAAGTCTTGCTGTTCATCGTTGCTTATTATGAAATGCTGACATCCATCCTTGCATTTCTTTTTTTTAATAGAGGCCTGGTATTTGATTCTCTTTATGGAAACCTGTTAAAAGTTGATGCCTATGGAAACATCCTAGTGTGTGCACATGGCTTTAACTTTATGAGAGGGTAAGTGATACAAATATTGGTGATCTTATGCACAGCTGGGATATATTCTGTTCCACATGGTATAGCGTCTCATAGTGAGTTTGAGGTTTGTTAGTTTCTGACATAAATTATCTAATTTTAACATTATCTTATTCTTGTTCCCCCCCCCCCAATCAATAGATTGGTAAACAATATAATATTTTTGTGATCTTTTAGTCAATAAGTATGGTTTCAAAAATCCAACTTATACTTTGTATACAAAAGCAGTACCTGGACAAAAAATTAGATGTCACCTTCAAGAAATCATATAATCTATTCAGGGCTCAGTTTTTTCTTGGAAATTTTAAGAGATCACTTGGCTCTCTCATTGATTGAATCTTACAATATACAGTAGAGGAATTGCTTTGATTTGATATAATTAACTACCATATTCTTTTGTCCTTTATATTCCTCAGGCCAGAAATACGAGAACAGTATCCTAATAAATTCATTCAGAGAGATGATACTGACAGGTTTTACATTTTAAACACACTGTTCAACTTACCAGGTGAGAATTGAGAGGGGGAATTATGTAGTCCAGATCAGTAGGTACATTGTTATTAATTTTAAACGAACACTTTTATGAATGTATTCTTGGTTTAGATTAACAGGTATGTCTAATTGACTAATCATTCATTTTAAGATCTGGTCTTGCCTTGGTTTTGCTTTCTTGCAGAGACATATCTGTTGGCTTGTCTGATTGATTTCTTTACTAATTGTGACAGATATTCAAGGTGAGTATTATCTTGGCTATATGAAATCAACAAGGCCATGTTGTAGCCAACTTTTCCAATGCAACTGTATAAAAACACAGCATAGTGACGTGGTTATTTCAGAGTGAAGAAAATATTTAAAGGATTGCTCCTTTTAAAAATAAAATATTGTGATTTAACTTTCAGTAAGATAACAGGGTTTCCTCGCTCACTGGAAAAAATGATTCCCCTTGAATCAGTGAAGATTTGAATAGATGCATAATGCCTATTCGTGAAATATATAAAATATGTAAACAAAAACCTAGGAGAAAGGGATGGGAAACTGTGCTTTCAATTTATACCTAAGGACACCAACGTCATTTTTAATTACATAACATTTGTCAAGCCTCATGAAATGTTCTACATGGCTGTTTTATTCCATTTGTCTCGCAGCTGTGAAACAGGATTTAAAGATGGAGACCTTTTCATGTCCTTCAGAAGTATGTTCCAGGATGTGAGAGATGCAGTAGACTGGGTACATTATAAGGTAACCTGCATTTTGGGGACATTTTGATAATCTCTAAACAGTTCTAAGTTTTGAATTATAGTATCATTTCAGTAATTTTATTTTTCTTCCCTGATGAATAAATGCTAAATACCAGTAGTACCCCAGCAAGATTGGATAAAATGAGATACAGAATGAATTACTTTTTATTCTTCTTTCATTCTCTCTTTAATTTAATTCTTCTTTTTCTTCCTTGCCTTAAGAGATTAGTAGTTGTAACCCATCACAGAAACAGCTGCCAGTCCTCTTACACTATATTCAATTTTTTCTCTACCCTATTTGGCGATTTAAATAAAGTTCCTTGGTGGCCTGTCATCCAGACAGAGTTGAGGATAGCCCCACCCTGTACCGTGTTTCCCCGAAAATGTGACCTGTCCTGAAACTAAAGCCTTGCCACATTTTTTGCATGGGCAAAAATATAAGCCCACCCCCGAAAATAAGACCCCTGGACAATCCCCCCCTCCGGCCAGGCAGAGCACTGGTCACCGACCTAGCGGTATCCCAAAGGTGCCAAGACACAGGAACGAGGTGAGGGGCAAAGGCGCTCACGTTGCTTGGTGCTTTTGGGCTACCGCTAGGTCAGTCAGCGGCACTGTGCCCAGCTGAAGAGGGGGGGTTGCCGGGCAGCTGCTCTCTTGCAAGCGGGCTCTTGAAGAGCTGGGCACAGCCTCAGGATCAAATGGCTGTGTTGCGCTGTCACAGCAGCAACACAGCAGCCATGAGGTGACCACACTTGCAAGCAGCCGCCCGGCAACCCCCCTTTCCAGCTGGGCACAGCGCTGCTGACCGATCTAGCAGTACCCGGAAGGCACCAAGCAACGTGAGCGTCTGTTCGCCGCCCTCTGCCTCCCACGGCTCGGAGCCTTTGGCATGCCCCTAGGTGAGTGAATGGGGCTCTGCATTACTGGAGAGGGGGGTTGCGCGAGTGGCTTTTCTGCTCCCTGCTCACGCGACTCCCAGGCTTACGATGTCCTTGGCTAATTCTACAGTACCTGCAGAGCCAGGGCATCTCTGCTGCTGGCGCACCCACAGACCCCCAGGAAGGAAGGAAGGGGAGGGGGAGGGAAAGGAAAGAAAATGGGAAACAAGAAAAGGAAAGGGAAAAGGAAAGGAAATAGAAAAGAAGGAAAGGAAAAAGGAAAGGAAATGGGAAAGAAGGAAAGGGAAAAGGAAAGGAAATGGGAAAGAAGGAAAGGGAAAAGGAAAGGAAATGGGAAAGAAGG